CAATTTTACATTTTACCCCCATTATCTTTATCATATGTACCATATTTGCTCCATCTTGTAATTTGGTGTGATCAATATTCCACAAAATTCGTATGTACTTTCGGGCAACGATAAAAGGTGTGAAAAACACCTACCAAATTATAAGTACGAAAAGTGGTATTATTTGTTACATGTGAAATAATATTGTGATATTTTACATATGAAATATATATATATATATATTATTTTATATATATATAAGTAAAATTATATATGTTTTAATTACTGATTATCCGGATACTTAAAATTTTACATCTTAGGTACCAAAATGGAAGTTTTAAAAGTACGTTATCCAAAATAAAAATTAAGCTAAAGTACATTACTTTTTCATGCAATTTGTCCTTAAGTATTATATCTATTAAGTATTCGTAAGAATTAATTTGTCCAGATAAAGAAAGATAAATTGTTGTTTAAGTTTTGTAATGAATAACATAAATACCATTCTAACTTTCTGCATACAAAGTGTTGGATGAAAATGAATTGTTTGACGATTTTTGTATGTAGACTGTTTATTTTTTAAATAGACGTGGATAATTTTTTTTGGCCAAGCGTGATCATGGATAAAATCCAGAGCTTAATATATAAGGTAGACTGACTTACCATGTTAATCACTTCTCTTAGTATTAAGTTAAAATCAAACATATGACTTATCAATTAAGATAACAAACTATTGAACTTATTAAGTTGAAATTAAACACCTCATGAATTGATTCTCCTTTAATCTTGAATATTTAGCCTTCATCCTAAAACAAGTGTCTACATTTGAAATGACATACAGTTTTAGAAAACCTTCATTTTCTTTATTTAAAAAAAAAGATTTAAAAAAATGGCAACTTGCATGAAAAAATAACGTACTTTAGCTTGATTCACATCATGAGTAACGTTATTTCAAACATTTAAGTACCCGGATAACAGATTGAAACATTAACGAGTTATCATGCTTATGTGCGAGTGATGTGATATGTAACTTAGCATTATTTGCTGACGTGGTTGGTGACATGAATTTTTTTTTAATCTAAAATTAGTATTCAACCGGTTATCCGGGTACTTAAATGTTTAAAATTTTACATCTTAGGTATCAAAATAAAAATTTTAAAAGTATGTTACTCAAAATAGAAATCAAATTAAGATACGTTATTTTTTTCATACAATTTATGTTAAAAACAGTATAAACTTTTTTTATACCTAGCTATAACTCCACCATCAAATCCGGTTTTATTCAGGCAAAAAAATGTTGCTTGTGGAACCTAAAAGACACCGAAAGTACAAACATACCCCTGTCTCAAATATGTTTGCCAGCATGAGACAAACCCATGTCTGGTCACCCATTATATCTTCCATATTCTTTATATAATCTACTCGATATTATTAGTTCGTAAAAGATGCAACCGTTTTTTATGGTGTTATTGTATAAAAAAGATTTTTGGGCCTGTTCCTGCTCTGCCTGCGGGCTAATGGACATAAAAAAAATCTTTTTATATTTTAAGAAAAGAGAAACTTATTATAAAATCACAAGTTATGTAAAAAATAATTCAAAATACGTAACAATTCTTGAAACCTAAAAACCAGACGTCGGAGCTGTTTGCTAAAAGCTTACATGAGTAAGTGCTTATTAAGTAACATTACCTTCCGGATGAATATGGTAAGTACCAAGGATATATTACCCCGGTAAGAGCAAAGGTAAGTACCGAGAGTCTTACCCGGTAAGTATGACCGATGACTCTTACCACGGTTAGCGCTTACCAGATAAATTGTTGCATTTGATACCATTTTGATGGGTTAAAATCTTACTCAGTAAGTAAGTGATAATGTTAACTTTTGCCGGCAAGCACTTACCCGGATAAGCACTTGGTAAACGGCTCCGTAGTACATAACAATGTACATAATTTAGAAAAAGAAAATTGTTTTGTAAAATATAAATTATGGATAAATGAAATGAGCAAATGAGATAATAGTGAATTGATCAATTGAGGTAATTATGTTTTTTACTTTTTAAATTTCAAAGAGTGTTATTATCATGAGTCATAATTCAGTGGAAATTGGTACGTATTAAGAATTTTCAGTTTTATTTCTAAATTTTAATTAATAAAAGTTAATTACTATAAAAATATCAACGGGTCGGGAGTAGTTGTCCAACATTTTTTGCATATCCCATTCCTGCCTGTTAATTTAACAAATCAAGCTGGACCCTGCTAATTTCTTCGAGAATGATAGTTCAATCCCCGATTTACCAGCAGGTCATTCCGACTGTAAACTCTATTACCTTCAAAGCTATAATATTATGGGTGGAAATCTTTTGTCCTAAATTTTTACGTTTTATTTTTCTCATCAAGGATGTTAATAATTTAATACATATTATTAGATAAATAATATGAATTGAAATTAAAGATATTTGAAAATATATAAAAAACTGGTTTATAATAATTAATAAGAAAAGTCTAAAAAAATCCAACAAAATTTTTATTTTTGAATAGTTTAGTCTCTGAACTATTTTTTGAAATATAAAAAATTATCAAACTTTCATATTTTGAAACTATATACATTTTATTAATTATAGACAATTATTTTAAAACAAAATAAAATACCCGTAATAATAGATAGAACAATTTTCTCTATGTGTATACTTACTTTTAAAAGTGGACACTTATTTTAAGGTACCAAACATAAACTAACTTGTTTTTTGGACTTATGTTTGGATGAACATTAACTAACTTATTGAAATATTAGCTGATATAGTTTTTAAGGAGTTTTTTCTGTCACCTTTTCAATTATAATTATCATTAATATTAATCATTATTTATTACTATTAATTATAAATAAATATTAACAACTATTGATTATTAATAAACAAAAAAAATTATTAGTTGTAATAATAACAAATAGTAATTAATATCAATTGAAAATTATTATTTAATTTTAATTATACATTATACATTATTATTAATTATTAATTGTTTAGAATTATTATCAAACATATTAATTATTTTGATGTTATTATTTTTTAATTATTATTCAATATATTTACTTATCAAAAAACAAATACAACAATTTTAATAATGTTTTTGCAAGTTCAATAAAAATTAAAGTTATATAGATAATAAAAATTGTGCTTAAATAATTTTAATAAAACATATAATTTAATCATTGTTTTAAAAAATTGCTAATTAATTAACATATTATATGTAATGGTTATCTAAAATCATAAATTAATGTAGATTTTCTATCTAAAATTTATAATATATAATAATTAATTTAAAGTCTTTTAATTAACATATTATCATTTTTAGTATTTTATTATCTTGTTTGTATCAATATATTATATTATATTATATGATACTGTAACATTTTTCAAAATGTTTTTTTCTTAGTTATCATTAATTTTAGCAAAATATGATTTATTCATCAGATAATTTATCAACTACCCGTTAATTTACCAAACATATTTTGTTATAATAGAGTAACATTTAATAAGGACACCGGTTAAAAGAAAGGGTAATAATGACTACCACCAACACCCGACACACAATTAAAAAAATGTCTCACACCTCATCCACTCTTACACTTATCGGGTCTCATTCCATTTCATATTTGTTTCTCCATTTTTAACAAATAATAATACCTTTTTTCTATTATTTAAATACATTTTCATTAATAATACTTTCGGGCTTCGGTCCATTCGGTTGTTATACTTACATACTTGAAGAGACGAGTGTAAACATCTTTTTTTTTTAAGTATATGATATTTATATACGATAAATAAAACAAATAAACTTACATATTATTCTTATTTTTGGTGAAATTTAAACATTTGACTTCTTAGAAGGCCAATAACTCGTACCGCTAGACCAAAGACCTTTTGATGAGTATAAATTAACATCTTCTTAAAACTCGTTAATGAAAATGAGGGTTAGAAAGTATGTGAATGACGACTACGACTCGTTAAGGGATAAGAAAAGCATACAATATATGTTAGTTTCAAGATTGACTACGTTATGTGGGTATTGCTAAGGGTAAGGGGGGTCTGTAATTGGTTTTTCATTAAGTTTTGTATAGGTAAAGCTTATTGTGTGAACTAGTATGTCTGTATAGATTGAAGAAATTTTTGTCTGATAAATTATTTTCGTAGATATAAAGAGCGTATTTTTGAACCAACAGATCCTCCAAAATAGAGAAAGTAGGGTGAAATTTTGCATGTTCGGACAACTCTTCAAAATTGATTACCTATTAAAGAGAAATTATTTTATTTTTCTTATCAATGGGAACCTTTGAAATTTAATGTGTTAATATTTTATACAATATATTGAATAATTTAATAATATAATTTATATTGTAATATCTAAAATGAAAAAGCCGTTGGAAATGAACATAAATTTTCTTTAAAAATTTTAATTTTTGATTCTAATTAAAGGGTGGTTTATCAAATGCTTACTGAGTAAGCGCTTACCAGCTATCGCCAAGAGAAAATACCCTAACTTACCTTATCATGATATATTCTTCATCATCAAAATAGATTGTTGGTAAGCGTCTTAAACCCGGTAAATAGTTACCAGGCAAAAGTCTTTTCTCCCCACTTATCGGGTAAGACTCTCGGTCCTTGTTATGTTTTTTACCAGATAAACTTCTTGGTCTTTATCATTTTGAATCAGTAAGATAAGTGATATCAATAAACACTTAGAGGATCACCAATAATTATGCTACAATAGATTTATGGTATAATTTTACTCCGACAACTATGTTATAGCATAACGGTTGAAATTACTCTTGATAAACGTTTCATAAAATAAAGCAAAAAGAATTGAAGTGGCATCCTCACGGACCTCCCCCATGCATGCACGTTGTACTTACTTCATGTTACAACGTACAAACCATTCATGCACATGTGAATTTCTCCCTCCAATTTTCCGGCTATATATACCACCACCCTCACCACCAACACTCTACACCATTTTAGACACCGAAAAATGGAAGATGCTTTGAGCAAGCTCTCAGGTTTCATCGGAAGTCCGTCGGAAATGGACCACCGGTTACTTCCAAATATTGCCACCGGCACTGCCACCTTTCAAAAGCGATGCAACACAAACACAACACCCACAGCCCCCGCCGCCAAGAGGGCGACGGTGAAAGACAACAACGGTGGCATGAAGTATCGTGGTGTTCGTCGCCGCCCCTGGGGGCGGTACGCGGCGGAGATTCGTGACCCGCAGACGAAAGAGCGGCGGTGGCTCGGAACCTTCGACACCGCCGAGGAAGCCGCTGTTGCGTACGACTCTGCTGCCCGTGCCATGCGTGGAAACAAGGCAAGAACCAACTTTTTCTACCCTCCTCCGTTGCCGGAGTTTCTTATTCCGGCCGCGTTCGCATCCAACAAGACTCAATTTCAGCCGTTCATTCCATCAGAATTTCTATACCATAATTCATGCAATACCTCCACCACCACCACCGACGCCACCGCCACCACCACCACCACCACCACCATGGCAATCAATCACGACGACTACAAAGACTTTTTTCCGACGGAGCCCGATGACTCAGGTTTACTTGATGAAGTACTAACTGGGTTTTACCCGAAACCTAATAAGAAATCTGGATCCGAACCCTTTTCGCCATTGATGACCACTAATTCTGTACCGAAAACGGTTGAATCGAATAACCCAATTGAGGGTTTCTTGATTAAAAACCAGCAATTTGAGATGGATCAGAGGTTGAATGGCGTTGGATGGATGGGATTTTATGGTGATCAAATGGAAGCATTTGGGATTCAAGAAAGCATTTTTGATGATACGTTCGCTAATCACTCAGAAACTGTTTCTTTTCTTAGAGCATGAATGAATTGGATTGAAAATATATGAAATTTATTCAACATTTGTTGATTGAATATCATATACGTCTGATCAATATACATACTCTTATAATCTTATATGCTTAGTTCCTTCGGTCATTTTTTGCCGGTTTACCGGTGGTCTACTCTTTTTTAATGAAACCCCTCCACTCTCTTTTGCTTGACTAACATTCTCCCTATGTATTGTTATCGTTACTTTTTCAATCATGTTATAATAATAACAATAACGTTGGTTGATAATTTTATTTTATTTTATATATATATATATATATATATTTTTTTTTTTCTTTTAGTTTTATATATGTTCAAACCATTTTATTTAGAAGAAATTATATAAGTTAAATGATAGTATATTTTGCTATTCGGTTAACCAAAATGGTAGAAATAATCGAAATCGAGATATACCTTATTTGGATAACCGAACAGTTTAATCCACAAACCGAATAACCCGAAACCGTTTTGATTCGATGAGTTATTCGGTTTTGGATTTTTTTTATCCTCTAGGGCCCCGAATCAGTTAAGATATCAACCAGTTTTAGGATATTATTTGAAAAATGTCTTATAAAATAATTGTACTATAAAAAAAATGTGTTTAATAGCAAATGGTTGGGTTCCGGTGAGAGTAAGAATTGCGTTGAGAATGTGAGAACAAAACCTTCGTATACTTTCATTTACGTTTTTTATCATAATGACTGGAAGTTTAACAAAATTCATTCGTGTGGAAATGATTAAATGTATGTAAAAAAGTTGGTGAAAGTGACATAAAAATGAAGATAAATTTGAAAATAAAAATAGATAAATGTAGATGAATATAACTGAAGATATTGAAAGTAGTTGAAAAAAATTAAGTTAGATTCAAAAAACAACTCATGCAAATGCTCAGAAGTTTTCTCACCATAACCTTAATTCTCACATGATCCCTCGTCTTATAGTATAATTCTTAAAAGTGTCATATAAAAAGCTAACATGACACTTTGTTTAAAGATGTCGGCAAAAAGATTTTAAAGATACCAAAAAACGTCATATAAATTTATTACAATATTTTAAGATAGGACATACAAATCTTTGGTCCTATAACTTAGTCCTGTAAATTAAATAATCTATTAAGACACTGTAAATTGCTTACGGCATAATTTAACTCGTAAGGATTCAGACTTGACCACGTTGTCATATCACGTCTCACGTCATTTAGAACCCGACTAAACATATATTTTTAAAATATGAAACTGATAATCATTATGCATGCATGCATGCATAATCTCATCAACATAGTTACACTTATAAATTTTCATTACATGAAAAAATGCATCAAATATTGTAATAGCATTTTTTTATTGACCTGGAATCCTAGATATCCACCCGCTATGTGAGCCGACTAATCTCAAGACAACCACATGTTTTACAAGTAGCTCGGAGTCACCGCATTTGAGCATTCGCGGCCACAAGGGGATTTTTATTCCTCCTTGGGTTTGAACCTGGGACCTCTAGACACTTTTGACATTTGAATTCCCAGCTCAAACTAATCAAACATCATCCTTATGGCCTTATGGTTATTACATTTATCGTCATAGTGTAACATTTGGGCGTTATAAAACCAATAAGTAAAAAAAAAAAGTTATTACAAAAATTAATCACTTGTTAATACAAGAATTAAATATGTTTGAGAAGTTATAATATTGTTAGATACAGTTGGTTAATAATTAAAATTAAGTTATTACAAAAAAATTCTCAAATCTTACACTGGTTGGGGACGAGAACAAAGATTGTAATATAAATGACTGAATTCGTTACTTATCAGATACATTTTAAAATCCCGTGCATTGGAACCCATGGTTATGGATCTGATCCATTAGTATGGAACATTTTCTTTTCCAAACAGTTAGTTCAGGTATAAACAAAATGGACAATATTTGATAGGGTTGACCTAAGATATTACATATAGGGGTGTTCGCGGTCCAGTTTGGACGGTTTAACCCCTCAAACCACAAACCAAACCGTAATAGCGGTTTATAAAATTTTCAAATCGAGCGGTTTGACATCAAGTGCCCAAACCGGTCAAACCAAACCACGAAAAAGCGGTTTGTTCTGACCGGTTTAGACGGTTTGGGTCTTTAATACACTTTAAATATTAAACTTAAAAAACATATATAATTTAGAATTTCAAATTAAATCTCCATTTTAACAAAACAAAATATCTAAACAAATAAATTTAATAGTTAAGCAGTTATTGAGTACAAAGTCGAAGCAATTTAAAGTACAAACAAATAAATATATAACATATTAGAAAACAAACAAATTAACAAAGTTACAACTCTACTACGAGTATTGATTAACAAAATCCACGACTTCACAACCTTTAATGGTTCAATTCTTGAGTCTTGAGTTCTTGACCAAACAAAATAGAAGCCAAATCTAAGTCGGTTGAATCACTTGGTTGATGTCTTGATGATGTGCGCCGAAATCTAACCATGGATTAGAAAAATCAATAGATTGATGGATTTCTTGAGGGATTTCAAATTTTGGAGACCGTTAATATCAAATGTGTCGATATGTTCAATGGTTTAATGGTTTTAGTCGTCAATTTTGATTATGTTGGATGTTAGGCTTAGGGATATATTTGGGTCATAGCCAATAAGTTAAAAAAGTTGGGCTTGCTAATATTAAAATAGATAAATAAATAAATAAATATATGCATTTGACGGTCGGTTTGGTCCAAACAGCCCAAAAAATGTTCCAAACCGCAGACCGAACCAGACCGCCCGGTTTTGCTATTTTCCAAACCAAATCAGACCGCTAGACCTCTCAAACCGCCAAAAACGGTTCGGTTTGACTTGGTTCAGCCGGTTTGAGCGGTCCAACGGTTTTTTTGAACACCCCTAATTACATATACTATTATAAAATTACACAATAAGTACGAGCATCCGCAGTTTTTTCTCCATAATATATATAAATATTTCACTCTTAATAATGAACCGGTTCATAATTTATATAACAAATAAACTACATTAATATTATGACTATGACACGTTGTTTGATATCAATGGATTTCATTTAAGTAGTCCATTGGGCCTGTATGATGAATTTAGCCCAAACCTGTAGTCCAATAACATTATTATTGATATTATTATTAAATAAGAGGAAAAGTTCATAAAAATTCAAATAAACCATCGAAATTTTAAAAATTGGTTACCTACGTTTTTTTAACAAAAAAAACTATCTGTAGCTGACTAGAAAGGTCTTAAAATAAAAAAAAGTCTAAATCGGTTTTCATCGTTTCCAAACCTCATGCAAATAAAGGTATCACTCCCCCTCGTCACTCCCGGTTGCCCCATCGTTGTTCGTTCTTCATATTTAACCCTTATTTTCAACGGTTTCTTTTATTTGTATATACTTTTCAAATTATTTATTTTTACGTACGTGAAAATACAAAACTACTGAAGTTGTTAAAGCATCTCCGACGGTTATATTATAACTTTCTAAAATAGAGGAGGAACCAAATCCGGGATTTTCGCAAACCATGATAGTTATTTTGTAATTTCGAAAGTACATGAATGAACGAAAAGTATTGTTTTCGGCAAGCCACATGGACCAAATTTGTAGTTTATCTCCAAAGGTTACTCTATTTTAACATTAATAATGTTATTAAAATTGTTTACAAATTTATTATTATAATATACTTTTAAAAAGACTTTACTAAAAATTACAACACATTTAATCTTTTTAATAAAATTATTAAAATAAAATATTTCTCTTTTTAATATTAGGTTTTTATTTAAATATTTCTACCTTTTATTTATTTATTTTCAATATAATTTTTTGGTGCAATAAAAACCAATAAAATTCAAAATCTTTGCTTTAACAAAGATTTTTGGTGCAATAAAACTACAATGAGAACAAATTTTATTTGGTAGAATTGGTTTGCAAAAATTTTATTCCATCACAGACCCAAGTTTAAATCGTGCTAGTGTCATTTTCTTAGTCAAATGGTGCCAACAATTGAAAAAAATTCTATATTTTTGTTTCTTATAGTCGAACGGTGTCATCGTTAAAAAAATTTCCTTATAGTTTTTTCTTATACTCAAATAGTTCCACCGTGTGAAAAAATTTCTCAGTCCATCCCCGATTCCTCAATACACCATCTATTTATTTATTTATTTATTTATAAATAAAAAAGAAAAGAAAATAATAATAAAAGTAAAGGAAGATATTTGGTGCAACCATATAATATCATCAATCAATTTATCTTTCCATGAAACAAAAAGACATCCACAAGAATGTTTGCCATTTTCTTCCCACCACCACCACCATTATTATTATTACACATTTTTTTTTTCAAACAGTGGTACCATTTGCTTACAAAAAATAAATATAGAGATATTTTTTACAAAATCATCACTGGTCTGTTGATATTTTTATTGTTTTTTCATATGCGATGTCTTATGTTCAAATCCTTTATGACAATTTTTTTCCATAATAGATCTGAAATTAAAAAATTTAGAACTAAGAAAATGGTACCAAAATGATTCGACTCGGTCTGGGGTGGAAGAAAAAGTCTTGAACCAACTCTACCAAAAAAAAGCGTGTTCTTATTATATTTTCAAAAATTATACGATGACATACAACAAATTAATATGGTTACACACAACAAATTAATGCGGTGCCACTTTTCAAAATCCTTGAATTTTTTACACTACGACAAATATGCTCTACGTTGGGTTCGTCCATAGTTAATAGGGTTTTTTCTGGTTGTTCTTTGGGACTCTAAGATTAGTCAAGACGTACGTAAGTTAGCTTGAACACTCATCGTTAAAACAAGAAAAGAAACCCACATATTTTTTATTTCAACATAAATCTTTTAATTACAAATTTATAAAATAACTGTAACTATAAAAATGAAATGAAACTATTATCAATTGAATTTGAAAACAACAAAAATGATTAAAAAAATATTTTTATTTTTATGGTTTTAGATTTATAATTTTCATTCTTATGATTTATAATTTATTATTTTTTTGTTCTTGTGATTTAAATTTTTTCTTTGTTCATATAGGTTATAATTCATTTATATTTTAGTCTTTCATACTTAAAAGTAGTCTTTTATTGTCAGGGATGAGAATAGAAATGAATTGCAAAGTATAAGGATGAAAACCGAAATTTATAAACCATAAGGATGAAATTTGTAGTTTTTAGCAAAGCACAGGGGTGTTTTATATAAGGAAAAATGACAAAACTAACCACTTTATACAATCCTCTTCTACGAAATAACCATTTTTAGGGGATCTACAAAACTAACCACACGAATCGCCCCCGGGGCGATCCGGCCTTTTTCTTAGAAAATATTTTTTTAATTTTTTTTGTCTACTTGGGGCGAGCCACATCATCGGATCGCCCCCCTGGGCGGGGGATCCAGGCTTTAAGTATTTTTTTAATTTTTTTTTCTTTTTTTTTAATACCAATTTCACTATAAATACCAACCTCTTATTTCATAATTTTTCACACATTTCCTTTCATTTCTTCTCATATAATATACTCTCACAACTATTAACCCATTAAACACAATAAACCATCACAAAACATGAAATCACGTCAAAGTGATGATGTTTGTATGTATCTTCGAAGTGGCGATAACATTTATATATAGAGAGATGCATTACGTAAAAAAAACGATATAAACGGTACAAAAATTGAAACTTCGTATATTATACGTATATATGCGTACGGGTTTTAACACGTACGCATATTTACGTATATTCACGTACGTTTTACGTACGTATTTTAACGTATATATGCGTACGGGTTTTAACCCATATGCATATTTACGTATCTTCACGTACGTTTTATGTACGTATTTTATACGTATATATGTGTACGGATTAAAACTCGTACGCATATTTATGTATCTTCACGTATATATGTGTACGTATGTACATACGTATATATATACATACTTACATTTACGTAAAAAAATGATATAAATTGCGGTAACGTATATATATAGAGATGCATAATGTAAAAAAAAACGATATAAATTGCGGTAACGTATATATATAGAGATGCATAATGTAAAAAAAACGATATAAATTGCAGTAACGTATATATATATATATATAGATGCATAACGTAAAAAAACAATATAAATTACAGTAACACATATATATATATATATATGCATTACGTAAAAAAAAGCGATATAAACGTTACAAAAATTGAAACTTCGTATTTTAACGTATATATACGTACGGGTTTTAACACGCACGCATATTTACGTATATTCACGTACGTATTTTTAACGTATATATGCATATGGGCTTTAACCGCCACTTCGAAGATACACACAAACATCATCATTTGACGTGATTTCATGTTTTGTGATGGTTGATTGTGTTTAATGGGTTAAAGGTTGTGAGAGTATAATATATGAGAAGAGAAATGAAAGAGAATGTGTGAAAAATTATGAAATAAGAGGTTGATATTTATAGTGAAATTGGTATTAAAAAAAATAAAAAAAATACTTAAAGCCTGGATCACCCCCCGGGGGTGATCCGATGACGTGGCTCGCCCCAAGTGGAAAAAAAGAAATTTAAAAAAAAAATTCTAAGAAAAAGGCCGGATCGCCCCCCACTAGTACTGATCGCCCCTGGGGGCGATCCGTGTGATTAGTTTTGTAAAATCCCTAAAAATTGATTATTTTATGTAAGAGAGTTGTATAAAATGGTTAGTTTTATATTTTTCCTTTATATAAATGAAAATAAAAAATGAAATTGATTGGAGTGGTTGAAGCATTATGTAAATGGCATGTCTCTCTGTTTTAATAATTTCTCCCCGTGACTGGCTGCAACTTTCAGACGCGTGTCTCCATTATTTAATTCATGTCTTCTTTTCCCAAATACATCTTATCAAAATCTTCTCATAAAATTAACAAATATATATAAAGAGATGTGTTATTATACAATTTTTTATATTTATATAATTAATACAATTTAATTTGAATCGTTCATTTAATTTGATGAAATATGTAATTTCATAGAAGTTTTGATTATTTTTTAATATAAAATATTGATCATAATTAATGAATCATAGACATCTTTCATAAATAGTTTAATCATAATAAATAAACTCTAATCATTTCTATAAATATTTCAATTTATTAGGTTGCATTGGTTGTACAAATGTAATAAATTGCATTTGAAACTCTCTCTCTCTCTTTCTATATATATATATATGTATATATATAGAGAGAGAGAGAGAGACAGAGAGTTTGTTTACACAATACTTTATATTATGAAACAATCAAATTTTTTATGAAATTACATATTCTTCAAATTAAATAGACGGTTGAGATTGAATTGTATTAGTTGTACAAATATAGTGGGTTTTATAATAATTCACATACACACACACACACATATATATATATATATATATATATATGTGTGTGTGTGTATGTATATTGTTATCATTTATCTTATTGATTGAGTATAATAAAAACCAATAATCCTACCCGGTAATAGTCATAACAAAGACCAGTAATCTTAAGCCGGTAAATGAGAAAAAAGATTTTTCGCCGATATGTTATTACCGGGTTTAATACTATTACCAACAATCTATTTTGATATTCAATAATGTTACATGATATAGCAAGTGAGGGTAATATTCTTCAATTGTTCTTTCTTTCGCTCCATTCCCCGGCTAGGATAGACCCGACGACATTCAGGATGGATGTAGACCCATCGACCATGGATAATCATTATGATATATTCAATTTCCCAAAGCTCAATCCCTACTTACTGAAGACTTTGGTTTCAACGTGCCTAGACACAGTTCGTAAAGAAATAGGTGCCAAAGCAAGACTAGAGTCGAGGGTATGGGGTTACGGATCTAGAACCATTGTCGTATGGTGAAAGTGTGATCCGCTTCGGTCAAGTCGAACCTTGCCAATTAGCTTCCATCAGAACGTTAGGCAAGCATCAATCCCTTGGTTTTTTATGTGGGGGTATTAAATCCTTAACCTTTAGTCTTGAGTGAAGGAAATGGAAGCATAAAAAAAAATATTGGCAGTAAACAATCCTTAAATAAAAAAAAATGAAACAAACAAATCATATGTGATTTTAGATTAACGGTCAATGCAAGTTTGTACGAGTGACATGGCTCGTGTGATTTTAGATTAACGGTCAATGCAAGTCTGTGCAAGTGACATGGCCGTTGACCTCCGATTGTGGCCAAATTGCATGAATCACATATGATTTTACACATGATTTTAGTGGTTACTGTTCTCGTATGAAACTGACTATCTCTCTCGCTTTCTACGTGTGTCTGTGTGTGTTTTGGGGGGGGGGGGGGGGGCGTCAAACCTTTTTAATCAATAATTTAAATTATATTAGATAAAAACAAATCAATAACGGTAGTAATGTAATTAAATATTTTTTTGTAATTTTTATATCATTTTAATTAATTGGAGTTATCCCATGATTTTAGCTTGAGATCTCATCATGTTGAATAAAACGTCCATCCTTTTTTCCCATCATTTCCTACCCATAGTATCTGAATATACGAAATTTCTGATAAAAAGACGATAATATGAACATCCATTAATCAGAAACTCGTCTTATACCTTTAGAATCTCTGAGCAAATTATGTTTCAGATGATTGAATTCAAACAATCTGATACCCCCCTTGTGATTATAACTTAAATCGAACATATCAATATTTTTTTGTGTCAATCATTTAAGATAATTAATATTTTTCTTAAAATAAAATAGAAGAGTAAAAATTAGTAATTTGGGTTGATTGTTCAATTTACTATAATTAGTTTAATATTTCAATTTACTTTAATTAGATTAATTACTTTATTATTTTTATTATATATATACACACACACGGACCAAAATCCGGTGGCCTCTTGCGGCAAGTGATGACCTCCTCCGGCACACATTGCACATACACACTGTGAACACTGTAGACACACACACACATACACATATACAATGTAGGCACCATAGTGGTACTACAGTTGGTATTACATTGATACCACATTTGGTATCATAGTGATCTCGAAGTTTACTTGGTGTATTTTGGATATTACATTGTATGTATTTTGGACATCACATTGTGTATTTTGGGTATCACATGGTGTTCGTTGAAGACCGAAGATAGAAGAGAGATGAGAGAGATAAAAAAATTAAATCACCTAAAATGCCATTTAATTATAATTTTAAGTTAAATTACCAACAATGTTAGTTTCTTAACTTATTCATTTATTTGTGATTAAAATTGGATTTTACAGTTATCACAAACTAATCAATTTATCATTTAAATGATATAACAGATGATATTAAAAAGAAAAAAAAAGATTTGAAAGATCCCTCAAGAATAAAGGGCATTCCCAAAAGTAACCTTATCAATTAATAGATTCATATCATATCATTTATAAAAAAAACAAAAAGAAAAAGGAAAAGCAAATTTATATTATTTATTATTTATTATTTTATGGGGATGAAATGAGACATTATTGAATGCATTCATCACTTTTTCTCTTATCTTCCATATCTCCACTTCCTTTAAATCTTTGGATCTTCATCCACCACTCACCAATTGCCCAACCTCCATCTCCATCTCCATCATCATCATCTTCACTCTGGTAAATTCATTTAACCCATCTCATTTCACACACACACACACATATCTATATATATATATATATATATATATACATATATATATATATATATGTATATGTATGTAATGATCACTGTGTTTAAATAGTTTGTACATACCATCTGATTAATCTTGTTTTAACAGTTAATATACACACACACTCTCTCTCTAGATCTCTCTCTCTCTCTCTCTCTCTATATATATATATATATGGCGGGAAACGAAGAGTTGAAGGTGGAGGTGGAGCAGATTCAGGTGACGTCGCCACCGCCGACTGGAGGGTTAGCAAGACAAGGAAGTATTGCAAAAAACAACTGTTTATGTTCTCCGACCACTCATGCTGGTTCTTTCCGGTGCCGGCTCCATCGTTCTCCTAGCGGCATTCAACGAACAAAAAGCATCAATTTGGATTCTAAACCTAATGATGATCATCATGAAAACGACGCCATCAAAACCCTGATCTCCCCCACCTAATTCTTCTTCTATCATTCATGTACATGTAATTGGAAATAACCATGAAATATGTTTGCATTATAATTATATATACGCGCTTAATCATCTAAGAAGTCTAAAATTTACGAGATCCGTGAGAAATTCTATCTAAAGTTTATGTTTTACATGATTTTTTTTATTTAAGTATAATATTTATTGTATTGATTAACACATATATGTGTGTGCATATATATATAAGTATGTATATATGTATATGTTTCACAATGTATTTGTTTCATATGTATTCGGTTCATAATCTGGAAAAAAATCCACGTGTATTTTTATATACAAACACGCTAAAAAGGTTACATTGTGAACCGAGTAGATGTGAAACAATCATATGTTAATCGATTTTCATCTCCTCATGGAAATATTTCAACGATTTAACAAGTTCATTCGACTTTTCATCGGGTACGTCGTACATAGTTTTTTGGATCAAACTTTGTCGATCATAGGTGTTTGAGAGCTTCGAATTTTGGGGTTCGATTTGGCATTAGAAAAAAAAGATGCATATATAATTGAGTTTTCATAATTATATACAGACTGTTGATTGGTTTTGTTTTCTGCTTTTCTTACAAAACTTTGTTGTTTCTCTTTGTACGTGCACGTGTTTTGTTTTAATATTATTGTCTCGTCTTTAAAAATAACACTTATAGAATATAGTTTCAACAAATTCACAACAACAAAATTGAGTTTATAAAATGTTTAAAGTGTTCAAGTGTCCTAATAGATTGTTTTACAAGATTTAATTTACATGACTTAAAGATAAAGTGTCATATTTAAAAGTGCTACGATAAGTTTATAGAACGTTTTTAAGTGTTTTAAAAAGTTTTTTGGAATTTTTTAAATAAAGTTTATTAGCTATTTTATATGATACTGTTTGAAAATGTGTTCTATAAAAATGGGTTTATATGGCACTTTCTCAAAAGTGTCATATAAAATAGTTAATACGTCATTTTATTTTACGACGCCAAAAAGTATTTTATAAACTTATTGTAACACTTTTAGACATGACGTTTTATTCTTTGGTCCTATAAAATATTATGTTACAACACTTAGCATCCTATTAAACCCTATTTTGTGATAGTAATTTTATTGTTTTTTGTATTACCGTAAGTAGGTAAAACAATCTGTGGTGTAAATTGTAATGTTGGTATGGTTCCTAAGGGGTTGTTTATCAAATACTTACCCAGTAAGCGTTTACTGGTAAAATTCAACACTATCACACTTACTGGGTAAGATTTTAGTCGATAAAATCATCGTATGCAACAATTTATCTGGTAAACGCTAACTGTGGTAAGAGAGTTGACCCTCACTTACTGGATAAGACTCTCGGTCCTTGTCTCGTTCTTACCAAATCAGATTTATTGTCCTTTACATATTCATCCGATAAGGTAATGTGACTTGGTAAATGTTTACCCGGATAAACGTTTGGTAAACGGCCCCTTAGTTTAATCCACAAAATACCCTTAAATGGTTTGAATGCAAAGAAGATTGCCACGTTCTTCAAGGATATTTATGTCCTTTTAACAATTGATAAAAAAAAACCAATGAGTTGAAAAGTATGTGAATTTAATTCGTCAGTATGTTATTAATACCTGTTTCAGAAGCAAAAAGAACCTATTAACTAAAACTTCATGAGTCCCAAGTCCCAACCAATGGTTCACTCGCGATCGGACCTCATCAACGCATCTAGCAACTAGTGTGCTAATTTAAAATCTAGTGTTCCAAATTTGGGCTTGCTGTAGGAAAAAGACGGTCCTTTTTTTGCGTTTTCGTGTTGGGTTTGTTCGATAATAGAAACGGAGAACTAATGTTACGCATACGGATTTTTATTTAGTCTTAACATTGTAAAGCTTACAGATTAAAAGTCGAAAAACATGTTTGAAATGCAAAAAAAAAAGTTAATGGACTCAAATTGTAGTCTTTTATATAATGTAGGGACTAAACTAGTACTTTGCTCCAAAACTTTAGCAATAGAAATAGTAGCCCAACCCGGCCCATTTGATCCATTCTTATTTCATTTGTGAAAGTGAAACCTTTATATTTTTCAAAAATAACTAAAATTAATTTAAAAAAGAAAACATTAATAAATTGTATCTCACAACCATATCATAATAAACATTAATATATATATATATATATATATATATATGACATACAAATTTGTCGTATTATGTCAAGCCTAAGACTAGAGCTCGCTGTTACACTATCCAGACGCCATTTTAAACTTTGGACATTACCTTCAATATCCATTTGCAAAATAGTAAACGCCCATTCATACATCTTGAATAACTCAAGAGCAGACAAACTAAAATCTAGTTGATCTAATGCATAGACGACTACATGTACATCGTTTTTGCTGAGTGCAACTCTCAAAGTCCACTCCCATTTCTTGAAACCGCCGTCCACATTCCACACATTTATCTGAATACCCACTCTAGAAAGATTGTATAGACCTTTTACATATGTATGGGGAAGTCAATAAATTATACAATCGATTGTCGACTGCTCAAGGAATTTTTATCCAACACCTGGTGAGCGAGGTAATAATGCAATACCTCAAAAACTAGTTCAAAAACCTGTAACAAATACACAAAAAAGTTGCATGAGTCTGCTTGTTGTAGATAGTTTTTTGTTCTTTAATTCTGATATGACATTCATACCCTTTTGAGTTTTCGTTGTACCTTCTTTTTTTATATACATTATTCGTTCCAGATCGTCTTATTGACAGATCTTTCTGTCATTTAAAAAAAACAGAAAAATAACTTGAAATACTTTATATAAAACTTACATCTTACTCTACTTTCTTGAATGGACAATTGGTAATTATGAGCATTCAAGTAGGGGAGTGGATAAAACCAATCATGTAATGTAAGCATATTAGATGATCTCCAATTACTACTTCTAAAATATAACAGTATTTCTAGAAAATTTTAGAAATATTTTAAGAGTTTTTTGCTCCAACAGATGTGCTAAATGATATATTAAAATAGAAGGAAAAAAAAGACGAGAAATGAGGTATAAATCTTCAAATTTGGTGAAATCTCAAAAGATTTGTACAAAGTGGAGAGATAATATTTTAATTCTTTCCCACTAATAACAGATATTGAAATTAAATTTATATGAAGAGAAATAATATTTTATTAATATACTCAACGTTAAAATTGTTAAAATAGAACAGGTATTGAAGTTGAATGTAATTTTTTTTAAAGATGTGATACATTATTATATAAAAGTTATTATAATGGTACTCGCGCAATACAACGAGATACATCTACATTTTAATGTTTTGTTTTATTTTTCTTGTCTCTGTTGATATATAATACGGTTTATGTGGTTTTGATAAAGATAATGTTTTTACTTTTGAATAAAAATAAATTTAAAGATATCATATAAATTTGAAAAAAAATATTATTTATATTAATATCAAATTAACTATTTAAAAGTTCTTGCTTTTTGTACAATTTCTTTAATTCAAAATTTTTATTATAATTTACGAAGTAATTTATTTTTGGCTTCACAATATAATTTTTATAAATATAATGATTCTGTTAAAACTTAATAATTATCCTAATTATATTTTAAACATTTTATATTTAAAATGAGATATTTATCCTGTATTTGATTATGTTTTTCTTCGGTTGGTTATACGAATAAAAAATGAAGCTTTAATAAGTTATATTTACGCACAATTTACTTGTACTCTTAAATTTTAATTAGTATACATTAATAAACAGTACTTCTTGCATAAAGAATGATTTTTAAAATACTTTTGTTAATATAGTATAGATACCATAATTGTTATAGATGTTAAAACTAGTCAACTCTTATCATCCAACTTCTCTAGGATGCTACCTTTGGTCAACATCCAAAAACTTGAAAAGAATGTCAATTTTTGCATAAACTTTATGAACAGAAAAGTGGAAATCAATAATGGAGGATGAGATGAAGGCATTGAATTATTGAGTTGTAAACTTATGGTAGAAAAAGACAAACTAGTGCTCAACAAATCAATGCTTTGGTCCCCATCTTCCATTTCTAATAAAGTTTGATGCTTTTAAACCAAAATCTTGAAAATAACCAATGATTTCAAGAAACCCCTTCTTTTCTTTTATTTATTACCACCATAGATTACACCCACAATTCACAATTTTCATTTCCCTAAACATTACAAAGGACATGTTTCCAAGAAAGATGAATGAAATAAAATAAGATTAGACTAATCCCGGCAAATTGTGACCGTAAGAAATCAGTCCTAATAAACTCATTGGTCACAATTGTTGTGTATGCTGGAATCAAATCCTGGGTAGATGGCAGATGGGATATTCCCCTGCATCCTCCAGAGATCTGGGTCTCAACCACTACGCCACAACCCTTGTGGCCTTTTTTTTCGTGCCAATGGGATCAGCGTTTTTCGCTTGTGCTTCTGTTGGTGGACCATAACTTACTAAACATCCGTTTGGGTCGATTTGGGATCGAACAGAGTTGTTTCACCTTCGAGGAGTTGGCTTTCGAGATCCCATCGTGGAAATTTACACCCAAATTGTCGTCTTCTGCTAGCTTCATTCTTAAAGTGGAAAGATTGGATTTTGGAGACTTGAGACCTGAAATACTCCATTGGTCTTCTGGTTGAACCATGCTTCTGTTGGTGCTTAATGAAACATGTGGTCTTGATGATGCATCATCTTGGGCAGCTAATAATGCCTTGATGTTGCTGGGCAGGTCGGTCAGCTGACCGCCAGCCATGGCGGCTCGGGCTTGTTCAAAGAACAGGACTTGAACCACTACGCGTAAAGGGAGAAGCTCGTTTTGTGCTGCGTGCATGCAAACTTCCATAGATAACTTCTTGCAGTCTAGTATTCGACAAAGCCGCTTCCTTTCAGTCTTGTTGAGGTTCGGGTGTGACTGCATAACAACAGGATCGAATAAGTTTATTATCAAGTAAATGGTCTCCAAGAATTAAAAAAACCCTGAGTAAAGAAGTAATGTTCCAACATATATAAGTGGCTGTTTGGTTGGTTTTCCATCAAGTCATGTATGGATCTAGCTGTCTATGTGGATTAATCTGTCCGTATAGATTGAAAAAGTTTTTTCATAGATGAAAAAAGCGTATTTTTAAATTGCGAGGGGTAGGTTTCGAAAAAAACTTGGCTTTCTACAAGAAGCACACCAAATAAGTCACTTCCTACATCATTAAGTCACTACCAAAAAGTCATGTATAGCTGACCGAATAAGCTACGAGTACCATTAAGCCTGTTAAGCTGCTAACAAACAGACCCTACCTAAGTCTAGCCGATGTGGGACTCTTAACACCCCCATCCACCTCCAGTGGAGACTAGACGGATACAGACTTTCCTAAAGCGGTAGACCCTGGCTCAGATACCATGCAAGAATATGAAAAATCCCCAGTAGATTACTCTTCAAAAGAGTCGTTGAAGAGAGAAGGAAGGTTCCAACATATATATATATATATATATATATATATATATATATCCTAATGGTCCAAATCTAGCCGATTTGAAACTCTTACACACTCTCCAAAAGAGGCTAGACGAGTACAAATTGCCACAATGTGTAGTCCGGAGCAAATACCATATAAGAATATGTGGAACCCATTAGATGTAATTTTGTTTTTTGTACCTAAAATGTGTATCAAGTTGAAATGGAAATGAAGTAATGCGTGCCATATAAAATGATACAAACCTTGAGGTAAATATCAATGGCTTTGTAAAGACCATCATGATCCAATCTTGCAAAATCAGGAATAGCCTCGGCTAAAGCAGTGAACTTGGACAATGGCAGACTCGCGTCTCTTGCAATTTCTTGCAAATATCCATCCACTAGCTTTGCCACTTTGATCTTGGAGCTATGAGATGCTGAAGAAGACCTCCTACTTTCTTGCAACTCAAAATCACCATTATTCGCTGATCTCGACCGTCTATGGCGCTCGAATCGACCCTTGACTCGTGGAGGACTCGTTGGCGGACTCTGGCCTTGTAACATGAACTGCTCCAAGATGTTCAAAACAACTTCAACATCATACATCATATCGTTCGACAAAGATGGGATCATCAAATCGGAAATTGTAGCTTCGTCTAATTGAAGCCCGATTCTTCTTGCTAACTCGGTTCTTGAAGAAGATGAGGCGCGTAGAATGTTGGCCGCTTTTAACAGTTTGAGCAAAAAGCTACAAGAAACCGCATTTCTTTCCATTGGAAGCAAACTAATTATCGATTCCAAGAGCAACCTGCTCTTTGAATTCGAAGGAGTTGGCTCGCCATTAGAATCCCGTTCCTTTTCAAGATTTCTTGAAATGTTCGGCAGCCATTTGGACGCGTAGATCCTTAACGCGTCACCAACAAGATTTGCAGGTACTTTGCCACCAGCTTTAAGGGCAATCATTGTTCTCCAGTAAAGATCAATACCCAACTCAGAAAGATCCTCAGCCCACCACCCTTTGCTTGTATTTCCATTGCAAGAAATGTCATCTTTGTCCCTCCCTCGCCTTGAATAGCTATGCGACAAACTCACCTTCAAAGGGTTAGAAAGGACTTTTGAAGCTATGGCTTCGATACAACGGCTAGTGATCCCCAAATCCTCTGACCATAAATGGAAAGGCTTTGTGGTTTGAAGGGTAACAATGGAATCTTTCCAACCATTTAGAATGCAAGAGTTTAAGAAAACATCAAGCTTGTAGAGAAGATTTCCTTTCTCAACATCTTCTGTCATTTGAAGGTATTCGGCTGCACATCGAGCCGATACGATGTTGTAGGCACTAAGAGTGATTGTGATTCCATAGCAGAATTTAGCACATAACTCAAAAGACTCGGTGCCTCCTGGGAAATCAGGGAGTTGGATTATTTGATGCTGGGAGGATTCAGGGCTTTCCGAACAGAGTCTTTGTAACCTCAAACACTTGGAAAGAAGTGGAAACTGTTATCAAGAAACAAAAAAACAATGAATTATAACTAGAAAAGTATCAAATTTTATGGATTCTAATGAATTTAGATCAAAACCCAGAATTTGTTTCAACTTTTTTCGATTATTCCACAACAAAACTTGAAACCCTTTTGTGCACCGGTGAAGTTTCACCGGAAAATCCCAAAAACTGAAAATTTGAGGAACATCTTGGTAACCATTCACCACCCAGAAGGTATGCACATATGCATACAAGTGATTAAAGTTGTTTCTTGGATTTTATGCTCGTATGCATGTTATACACACGAGCATACCGGAGAAATTGCTTACGAATTACTTGTATGTATATGTGTGCATACCATCCAGACGTTGTTACCGGGGTGTTCTCTCTGTTTTTCAATTTTTTGCAATTTTCCCTTGACCCATTGAAGTAAAATCATAAACATAGTGAATTATAACTAAAAAGTATTACCTTGTGAAGCAAATATCTTGTTCCATTCACTTGAACTACAAGATCACTAGAAACTTCAGAGGAAACTGACCTGAATCCATTGAAATATTCATATGTGAACAACAAGAATTCATATGTGAATTAAACGAAAACAGTAGATGAATTTGATGCATATACCTTACAGACTCTGAATTATAGAAAGTATCAGGCCGAGAACCAAGTTTCATAAACTTCATGGCTGACTTTTTTCTTGTTAACCTCCTTAAACTGTCAGCTTTATGTTCTCAAATTAAGATTATGTTCATAATTACGTAAATGAACTGAAATCAATCTCTTCCCCCACATGAAACGATACCTATAACATACAAACCAATAACAGAGCACAATTAGCAAATTATAAAATCCCATTTTCATAAATCAAAACCCTAAAACAGATTCTTGAAATCAACCCAAATCGTCAAGAACTACCCAAAGAATCGTACGAAAGCTTCAAGATTTTGGTGTGGGTTATAAGAATGTTACAAAATCCAAGAAAACAGAACAAATCCCGACGTGGTTTCAGGTGATTACTGACACCCATTTTGATTTCTCATGAAAACCCATCAAGATTATCACTGAAAACACAGCAGCTTTGAGTAGATTTTATGGGTTTTTATTATGTGGAATCGATAGATTATTAAAGAAAAGAGAATGAACCTGAAATCTTGAAAACAGGGAAGAAGATTCGATCATAAAATCACAGAGAAAATGTTGGGGAATAATCAAGTAAGACGATGAAAAGAGAGCAGAAGATAACAGTAGAGTTTGTGTATGAAAATGCCAGCGTGCTAAGGCAATCGAAGGAAAGAAAAGGCGACGCCCACGTGCTTATCCTGCGCCCACTTGCCTCATAATTGTCACACCCAATTTTCTCTTCTCGACCTCCTTTTTCTTTTAATTAACCTCAATATCTAACTCGCTACATGATTCGATTAATCCCAAGACAATCATCTGTTTTGCAGATAATTTGGAAGCATTGCATTTGAACTTCCATGGTCACAATGAAACTTTTATTCCTCTTTGGATTTGAACCTGTGACCTCCTGGTACTTTTAACCTTTGGAGCCAAGCTCAAACCAATCAGACACTATCCTTGTCGTCGACCCCTTTTTTCATAAATAAATACAACATTTCTTTTAAACTTCTTATAAAAACATTTCTTTTGAAAGGGTGTTCTTTTTCTTTTTACTATTTAAATTTAAATTTGTATTTTATTTATATAATAAAAGGAAATGTTCTTAAATGTGGGTGTCCAGGTTAGTTTCTCCGTGCCATGACTAGTTTCAAGGGTTCTGAAAACAGCTAAAAATCACCAATGTTATTGCAAACTTGAACCGGTGATCTCTTAGGAAAATCCTTAGAGACATAAACCTTATGTCATATGAGTTAACGTCACAAGGTTTATAATAGAAGGTTCTATAATCATCAATCAAGGGACCTTCTTCTGAGAACCAATACATCATGTGTTATTTCATATGTTTTTTTCATTTATATTTCTTGACGTGTCTATGAAACAAAAAGTACACGTAAAAAAGTTTCACATTATGAACAAAAATACATATCAAACAAATATATGTTACATAAAAATAATTACATTTAATTATGAAAAAATGATAATAAATATCTTTCATAACAGTTTTTATTAAATACACCTATAAATAGTAACAAAAACCGAAAGAATATCGTCAATCTGAAATCATATCTTCAATAATGCATACGATCACTAGATTTAATCGAATTTTTTTATCAAAAACATATTACAATTAATACAAAATATTATCGTACACCAAATTAATACAGAGCCCACCACCATATATTTATCTTCTTTCTTTATGAATAATAATGATGATGAAGTTGCTAGGTTGGTTACCTTTTCGAGTCGGTCTGAAATTGAAGTCTCGGTCAGGATCTGAATCATTATATCTCTCACCTCCCTTTGGATCATTTTTGGCAATGATTTTTATTCTCCTCAAATAAAAATAAAATAAAAACTCAAAAAAGTAGTTCAAAATTGATAAAGGGGTTGTTTTTCCCTTCAATTTTTAATAAGAACATAATACTTTTTGTTTTAAAAAAAAAGAAAATGGAAAAATAGTGGAATAGATATTGTATTTTCAAGATTTCTACTATGCTTTGTTTCTCATAGAATGGGCATGAGTGGATAATTTATAGTAGCCACAAGTGAAACTCCCTCCTTTGAATTGCATTTGGGTGTAACCCTTTCATGCATTTATGACAAATGGGGTCAATGGTGATTTAATGACCAATATTTTCTTTAAAAACACATGGTCCATTCTTGATTTTTATCAAGACTTTTCAACATGTTTGTGTTGAGATTGAGTTAAATTACATTAATTTAATGGTTGTATTGTATATGTACCTTTTTATACAGTTTTATACATGTTTTCTTCGTTGAGATCAATGAATCAAACTTTTTTTAACAGTGTTTCTATGAATGATTGAAGCAGTGATGTGTCAAGATGTGGGATGATAAGAGGTTGGATTATTCAAAAATCCAGCTGAAGAGCTATTGATGAAGCAGAGTGGATTACTTATCATACGGTGAAAACAACAAGGCATCACTGATTAAATCATGAACCTGAATGGTCAAGATTTTGATTGGAGGAGTGGAGATGAATAGGTTTTAGATTGACGGGTCATGTCAGAGTAGTTATATGAATGGATTGATTTACATATGCATTAAGTCCTTATTACTTTACTTCTTTGTGGTTAGGTAACTAGTCAAGATTATAGTAGAGTGGTTGAGGTTAGTTCACCTATGATAGCAAGTGTTGGACTTTCTTAATCCCAGTTTCGAAGTTGGCTATGCCTAAAAATGTACTTTCAAGATTAAGACATGTGAATCTTTTAATTTGCCTCTAACAAACAGTTTGACTATGAATAGAAGCATTATTATAAAAAACCAACTTAGATTTTGATAGTTGGCTAGAATATAAAGACATATATCTTCCAACACGGAAGTTCTTGCCACCAGTGGTGCTCTGCAAGAACACCCACGTTCTTACCTGTCAGCTAAACAAATATAACGGACTATTAAAATTTAACCTTGTTGGATATCAACAGAAAACAAAATATAAGACAAGATAGAAGGGTAAGTGGACCAAAATGTTGTGGGAATTGATAACATTAACCAAAGGAATATGACCCAATTTTGTTGAAATGGTTCAATCAATGTCTTCGGCTAAATGAACCACCATTGAGGAAGATGGCAAATTGGTTGGGCTTGGTGGGTTGGACCCAGATGTGGGCTGGCTAACCATAATGGTCGAACCCAGATGGGGTAATTTTGGAATTATGTGAGACAAGTATGGGCAATATGGGAATACAAGTGGCGTCCACTTATGGAAGAGAGGATCTTCTAATGCTTGTACGGGCATGGTGTAGGGTCCACTGTGTGTTACCCTAACGGGGTTACAGTGAGGAACATGTGGGTTCCATTTTCCACCGTCTGATTTCTTTCTTTGTGGGTCCCTTTTATTTTGTCTACGCCACAGTTCCCTCCACGAATTTCTTTAATAGAAAAAATAGATTTAAAATTATACTTTTATTTTCGTATTTTCAATTTAGTTATTTAAAAAATTCTTCTAATAATAAAATTCAGCTTTTATTAAATAAATTAAAAAGTTTTTATTTTTAGCAATAAATATAATAAAAGTTAGCATTAATGAGCCTTCAGTGGACATACACTGCTTATCGAATAAGTCAGAAATTTCGGCATATCAAAATAAAAGGTGGGATAACATGAGAAATGAAATTTTTACGTTAAAATATCAGCAACCTTATTAACTTGTCGTCTAATGCAACATATAATTGAATTTATTTATGTAAATCCCGACCAAAATTATAATTTTTTTTAATAAAATGTTTGTTATAATACCTTGAAGTCTTGTTTGCAAAAAAAAAAAAAATATTGTCCTTTGACATTGTTGTATTTAGAAACAAACGGGTTTATATGGAATGAGTTGAGGTTATCAGTAATCAATTTTTATCTAAAAATATATAAATTTAATTAAAATTGAAATTTTAATGTTTAATATACATACATACATACGTACGTACGTACGTACATATATATATACATACATACATACATACATACATACATACATACATACATACATACATACATACATACATACATACATACATACATACATAC